CTCAACCCCGGGGATCAGGGGGGGGGAGGAGCGGGGGACTGGCCCCCTCCGGCCGCCAAGGACGGGGGATCGTACGACACGGTGGTCAGCGGCCCCCCCTCCCTCCGGGAGCCCACGTCTCAGACCGCCGGATCCCCACTTGGTGAGTGGGGATGACCCCGGAGGTGCTGCTGTGGTGCCGTGCCCAGGGGGGTGATGAACCGAGTCACCGGTAGTTGGTTTCGGGGCCCCCGTCGCTACTTGCCCACTGGCTGGCAGGGCAGGGCCTAAAGAGCCCTTTCTCGACTCAATACGGCAAACCTACGACCCCGCCGTACTCCGTCTCAGCTGCACCCTAACCCCTCCCCCCGTGTGGGCCCTTTCAGAGTCCAAGCGCCTCTCCAAAGAGGTGGTTGCGGTGGTTGCGGTGCTGGCCGCCGCCGCCGCCGTGGTCGCTTCCATCGTCGCCGCCGGGTACGTCCTCTACCGCGGACGGAGGCGGTTAGGACAGCCGCCCGCGGGCTTCGGGCTGAAGGGCGCCGCAGGCATGGATGGCCTGCCCCTCATTACGGGCTACGGCCACGACAATGGCAGCGGCCCCGGCGGCGGCGGCGGCGCCGGCCACCCATGTCATCATCCTCATCAGCGGCAGCAGCCGGCCCCCCTGCAGCAGCAGCAGCGCAACGGCAGCAGCAGCAGCTGGGTCGTCAAGGAGGGCCTCTACGCGGTGGTGGTCAAGGTGGTGCAGTCGGGGCTCTGTACGGCGGGCGCGGCAGTACCGGGCGGTGTCAGCGGGGTGGGGGGGTCGCTGGCCGGGTCGGTCTCGGGGTGCTCCTCGCTGACGGAGCGCAGCAGCGCGTTGGCTACTGCCACCGGGCTACTGCTGGATGTGTCGGCTACGGCTACTGCTACTGCGGCCGGAGGGGGCGCCCGGGAAGGTGGGTGGTCGGCATGTGTGTGAGTGTGTGTGTAGAGGGGAAAAAAAAGGGGGGGTGACTTGGAGTTGGGGATGGCGGTGGTCAATAGTGAACGACGGATGATGGGACGATTGCGTTGACGGTGGCGGGGTGGCTGGTGGCCCTGATGCGCTCACTTAGCTTTTGCCACTGGTTTCTGTATGAGTGCCAGATGGCGGTGTGGGGAATCCAGGTCGGGTCTGGTCAGGTTGCTGAGGAGCTGGCCGCCAGCTGACAGACTATCGGAGTTGTTGGCTGCAGGTGGTGTAGCGTACGGCAGCGCCTCGCTCGATATTCATGACCACGACAGCGTCGCTGTCGTCCGTACACTCCTGCACGCCAGTAGTCCTTCACGGCCGCCGGTAGTGCCTGTGATCCAGCAGCAGCAGACGCGGGGGGCTGCGGCGACGGCGGCGGTGAGCAAACCCCCGGCCGTGACGGCGGCGGCGGCGGCCAGGCAGGCATCGAATTTTGCCGCGACCGCGGGCTCCGCGAGTTGGGGTGCGGGGGAGCTGGCACCTGACGGCAGCGCTTTCGGCTTCATGGACGTCTTCCGGGGCGCCGCCGCCAACCACATTTGCCTCTCCACATCCACGAGCGCCGCACCCTCGGCTTCGGGTGTACTGACGGCGGCGGGCGTGCCGCGAAATAACCCGTTGTACGCGGCGGCCTGTGTCCACGGGGCCAACGGCGGCGGGGCGGGCTTTGGCGTCGGCGGCATCACGCCACGCATTGCGGACGATCTCCTCCTCCGCCTCCGCCGGTCCTGTGGGGGCGGCCTGGCGCCATCACAGCCATCATGGTCCGGGCAACACCGCTACGTAACAATGCAGGACGGACGTCGGGCCCAAGGTGATGATGGTGGGTCCAACGATCACCCTGCGTGGGGCCGTGCTGCAGCCCCAGGGGATGATGATGCATACAGCTTCCAGATGGGGCACAGCGCGGCGGTGCGCGACCGGGGGCTCCGTCGCACGCAGCAGCCTCAGCAGCAGGGAGTGGGTGGTGGCTACCCGTCGGGCGGCTGTGGCGCTGGCTGGGTGGCGCAGCGGCCGCGGGAAGTGACGCTACTGGAGTTGTTCAACCAGCCGCCGCTAGCGGGTGCCATGCTGTCGACGCCATCAACAAGCAGCGGCGGCGCGCCGCCGTCGCCCTTGCCGTCGGGGGCAATCCCGCGTCTGTCCTCGGATGGGATCACCACCGCCGCCGTCGATACTGCTGGACCTGGAGCGGAGGCCGCCAGGCAGCCCTCCCTCAGCGGCCTCCGCCAGCGCAGCAGTCCCGCCATTGCACTGGAGCGGTTATCTGTCCAACTGGCCTGGAACATCGCGCGGCTCTCCTGCAGTGTGGCAGCTGGTCAGGGTGATGAGGGCGGCCCAGATGGCGACGAGGCGGGAGGCTCGGGACCCGCCGGGGAGCCGCTTGTTGGCCAGCTGCTGGTTCTGGACGGCGGAGACGCGAGGCTGCTCCGCG